CGGAACCAGGGATTGAACTCAGGCCCTTGCACTTGCCAGCCCCCCAGGGGGCCCTATTTCAAAAACAGTAACTACAAATTGATCTCATTCTTTTATGGCTATTTCATTTGTTATATTAATTTCCTGTTTTATGCATTTGTAGTTCATGCTCACAAATACATTTATTCACAGAGATACAGAATCTAATTTTTCTCTCAGAAAGAGATAATTACTCAAATACAGCCCTAAATAAAGGATATTCCTTCTGTTTTGTTTTTATCTTTTTGAAATAAGCTTTCACTATGTAGTTCAGGCTGGTTTTGAGCTCACTGTATAGCCCAGGCTGGCCTCAAACTCAAGGCCAGCCTCCTGCCCCAGCCTTTTCAAGTGCTAGGAGTATAGGTGTGTACCACCACACTTGGCCTTTTTTTTTTTTTTTACATTTTATACTATTTATTTTTGTCTCTTTCTTGACTAGGTACAATTCAAGACCTATCAGCTTCTACATTCCATTTTCCAGTATCCAAACCCAGCCATTGCATACCCATACATTTACTCCTTAGCATCTCTTATTGTGGAAAAACTGCAGGAAATAGACAAAAGAAAACCTGAAGATGCCACTGAGCTTCAGATCTTTCGAGAAGGCATAAAAATTTTGGAAGCATTGGTTACCATTGCTGAAGAGCAGCATCGTAAGTGTCCACACTGAGTCCATACTACTCAGTCTCTCCAGACTCAGAATTTCAGTGCTAACTTTAAAACATATAAACATAAACATAACTTAGTTTATATCCGTATTTCACATTTATGGAAAGCCCAAGATTTTTATCTTATTTAGGGTTAATTTGGCAGAAGAGATTTAAAGAACTACTTCTTTCCTAAGGGAAAAAAAAGTATGTACAGTTTGAGGGCTTTGACAGTATGTATGATAAACATTTATGTGCTGAACTGGCATTGTTTGTTTACTTCCTAGGCTCTCAGCTGGTGGCCTGTCTCCTGCCTATCCTCATTTCCTTTCTTTTGGATGAGAATGCTCTCGCATCAGCACCTTCAATAATGAGGAATTTACATGACTTTGCTTTGCAAAATCTCATGCAGATTGGGCCTAAGTATTCATCAGTTTTTAAAAATATAATGGCTTCTTCTCCAGCTCTGAAAGCCCGCCTGGAGGCTGCTATAAAGGGCAATCAGGAAAGTGTCAAAGTCAAGTTACCATCATCAAAGTATACTAAGCACTCTGGAAAGAATTCAAGCATCCAATTAAAGACCAATTTCCTCTGATTTTACTTGTTTTTGGAATAGCAAGCACCTTAATACAATACTTGATCATTTCCTTCTCTTTGGGGACAAAGGGAAAGTTTAGACTCAAGTGCACTTGCAGGTCTAGTTGATTGTTTTAAATAGCTGTGACTTTGAAATTGACAGCAAACTTAACATTTTCTGGAATGTTTATTCCACTTAATTAGGCAATAGAGCTGTCAGAACTTTAGCCAGAAATTTCAAGAATGTGCTAAAGAATTAAATTTACTAAATAATTTGCTACTTTAAAAATGGATTTCTTCTGTCAGCCCATATCCATGTCGTATACTTAGTTCTTGACAGATCCAGATTTCACTCAAGTATAAATGATCTGCACATAGATTGTATCCTGGTCACTAATAGAAGACCAGCCACAGGCCCAGGCTGTAGCTCAGCAGCACAGCACCTGCTTGGCAAGTGCAGGGTCCTGAGCTCTATTCCTGGTATCCCCAAAAAATTTTTTCAAAGTAAGAGAAGATTCTGCCTTATTCAGTAATATTATTAAACTTTGGGCTTATCCAACAAGATTAATAATTGGAATGCTTGAATTATAATTATCCAACATATTATGGTAAAATTTAATTGTAGCACTACAGTTTGACATAGAGTTCATGCCCATAAGTAGGACTTTATACCATCTTTTGGGTTAGCTTGCATTTTCACTATTTCTGAAATGAATTTTCTGTTAACACTATTACAAACATTTATGGCAAACATTTATTTTGATGAGTTTATTATAGATCATATCTATATTGTATTTAATCAACTGTGGGTTTATATAAATGCCGTATTTATACAGCAAACTTAGATCATCAAAGACTACAAGTATTTTTTTAATAGGGAACATATTTTAATACAGAAAAAAGCTAATGATAGGGTCATTGTTTAAAAATATTTTTTAACTGTGTTTGTGATCCTTGACTCTTCCTGCACTTCAGTGTTATACTGTGAATCAAACAGTATGTAAAGCATTTCCCTGTTAAAAATTAGAAACTGAAGTAACAGGCATGTTCAGAATTGAGAAGACACATTGATTTACGCAAGAGCAATGTAATGTACTCTATTTTATTATGTGTGTATATATTCTTGTAAATTGTTCAGAATGGAAACATTTGAAAGATTTAATACTATAATCAGTTTTTCTAAATTATATAAATAAAGCTAATTTTCTTTATCTTTCTTGTATTTAAAATCATTTTACTCAGAAAAGACAACAGATTCCAGAAAAGTTAATTCTGTGAAATAAATAAGATCCCTTTGTAACTTGGCCTTTTTGCTCAGAGGAACCTTTCTTGGGAGCATTGTTTGCAGTGATAAATTCTGTCTTCCTAAATGTCCCTAAGTATTGAGAATCATGTATAAAACATCACAGTGCCAAGTTTGTGGGGGGTTTTTTAGTGTGTGGGGGGGTACAGGGGATTGAACTTGGGACTTTGTGTATGCCAGCATAGTGCATTTTAATGTCATCTTCAGTCTTCTTACACTGTTCATCCTCATAGGGAGAAACTTTATCTCTGTAACTTTGCCTCTGCAGCATCAGCCAGGTGCTTAATAGCTCTTGAACTACACTGGTATGTCGGGGTTGGATCTGCACTCAGATACACTCCTTTGCCAAGGCAAGTGCTGGACTGTGTTGTTTGGGACATAATTTGTTTGACTCGGATTTTTTTTTGTTTTATGTGTTTCAGTCACTTCTTATGGTTTAATGTTAAGACTTCTAGGCTTGGGGAGATAGCTTGGTGGTTTAAGCACCTGCCTGAGAAGCACAAGGACATGATTCGATCCCCAGTACCGCATGCCATGCTGGCCCCCCCACCATGCCAGCTACTTAATCAAGGAATGGTGGCGCACACCTGTAATCCCACCACTGGGGAGGCTGAGACAGGAGGACCACTATGACTCCAAGCTGCGTAGCAAGACCCTGTACTAAGTAAATAAATAAAATCTAAAAAAAAGATTTCTATTACTCATTTAGTTACATGATGACCTGAATTGTTTGAGTTAAAGATTCTGTATGAATGTTAATAGTTATGGGGAAAAAATAACGTCCAGAGTCATGGGGTTATGAATTTTGAGTTAGGCAGTACCATGTAGCCTTTTAATATATCACCTTACTTAATAACACAGAATTACCAAATATTTCCTTGCTGATAAGGAAGTTAAGGATTAACAGCAGGTTTGAGTCCATCTGGTGACAGTGTTCGTGCTGGAGCCAGACCAAGTGCTCTTGCCTTGTGCCATCAAGGAATCTTTTTACTGGTACAGATGTCCCAGGGCTTTCCTCTCCTTATTATGAGCTATAGTTGTAAGAATTTTGGGAGGATACATCTATACATTCTTTTCTTGGCCTCACCAGTTGTTACTATTTGATTACTTTCTCTTTCTGTCTTTGTCTCCCTCTCTCTTTTCTCTTTTTTTTTTTTTTTTTTTTTTTCAGAACCGGGGATTGAACTCAGGCCCTTGCGCTTGCCAGGGAAGCGTTTATTCCACTGAGCCATCTCCCCGGCCCCTTCCTCTCCTTATTGAATATGTTTTCAGTTACACTTATCTACACTGCAACCAAAAGGTTCCTGACTAATACAGTAAAGGAGGAAATGTACCCTCTAGCTTATGTGAAAAAAGAGTATTTTGGTCCAAAATTGAGAAAAAAATGAGGAGGAGTTTATTAAAGATGAATGGTTAAAACAATAATAGAACAGAAGCTTTTTGTGTCAGTTTTATTTTAAGCTTCTCTTTGTGATTAAAGCAGTTGCATATTAATCAGCTTGGTAACTACAAATTCAATAAAGGGAAGAGGCATGACCTAGCATGACCGAGGCCTTGGTTTTGACTCCCCAGCAGTAATAAATAAAGTTGACTACCAATTTCAAACCAACTCATGTAATATCTGTCTTCAGGTTTTATTGTTGGTTTTTGTTTCTCTTTCATTTTGTTTTTGCTTAAG